GCAATCTACAGATTCAATGCAATCCCTATCCAACTACCAATGACAATTTTTTTTTCTTTTTTGCAGTACACGGGCCTCTCACTGTCGTGGCATCTCCCGTTGCAGAGCACAGGCTCCAGATGTGCAGGCTCAGCGGCCATGGCTCACGGGCCCAGCCGCTCCGCGGCATGTGGAATCTTCCCAGACCGGGACACAAACCTGTGTCCCCTGCATTGGCAGGTGGACTCCCAACCACTGCGCCACCAGGGAAGCCCTCAATGACATTTTTCACAGAACTAGAACAAAAAATTTCACAATTTGTATGGAAACACAAAAGACCTCGAATAGCCAAAGCAATCTTGAGAAAGAAAAATGGAGTTGGAGGAATCAGGCTCCCTGACTTCAGACTCTACTACAAAGCTACAGTAATCAAGACAGTATGGTACTGGCACAAAAACAGAAATATAGATCAATGGAACAGGATAGAATGCCCAGAGATAAACCCATGCACATGTGGTCACCTTATTTTTGATAAAGGAGGCAAGAATATACAATGGAGAAAAGACAGCCTCTTCAATAAGTGGTGCTGTGAAAACTGGACAGCTACATGTGAAAGAATGAAATTAGAACACTCCCTAACACCATACGCAAAAATAAACTCAAAATGGATTAAAGACCTAAATGTAAGGCCAGACACTATAAAATTCTTAGAGGAAAACACAGGCAGAACACTCTATGACATAAATCACAGCAAGATCCTTTTTGACCCACCTCCTAGAGAAATGGAAATAAAACCAAAAATAAACAAATGGGACCTAATGAAACTTAAAAGCTTTTGCACAGCAAAGGGAACCATAAACAAGATGAAAAGACAACCCTCAGAATGGGAGAAAATATTTGCAAAGGAAGCAACTGACAAAGGATTAATCTCCAAAATATACAGTTCATACAGCTCAATATCAAAAAAACAAACAACCCAATCCAAAAATGGGCAGAAGACCTAAGCAGACATTTCTCCAAAGAAGATATACAGATTGCCAACAAACACATGAAAGGATGCTCAACATTAATCATTAGAGAAATGCAAATCAAAACTACAATGAGATATCATCTCACACCAGTCAGAATGGCCATTATCAAAAAATCTACAAACAATAAATGCCGGAGAGGGTGTGGAGAAAAGGGAACCCTCTTACACAGTTGGTGGGAATGTAAATTGATACAGCCACTATGGGGAACAGTACGGAGGTTCCTCAAAAAACTAAAAAATAGAACTACCATATGACCCAGCAATCCCACTACTGGGCATATACCCTGAGAAAACCATAATTCAAAAAGTCATGTACCACAATGTTCATTGCAGCTCTATTTACAATAGCCAGGACATGGAAGCAACCTAAGTGTCCATCAACAGATGAATGGATAAAGAAGATGTGGCACATATATCCAATGGAATATTACTCAGCCATAAAAAGAAACGAATAGTTATTTTTGGTGAGGTGGATGGACCTAGCGACTGTCATACAGAGTGAAGTAAGTCAGAAAGAGAAAAACAAACACCGTATGCTAACACATATATATGGAATCTAAAAAAAAAAAAAAAACGATTCTGAAAACCTAGGGGCAGGACAGAAATAGACACAGACGTAGAGAATGGACTTGAGGACACAGGGAGGGGGAAAGGTAAGCTGGGACAAAGTTGGAGAGTGGCCTGGACATATATACACTACCAAATGTAAAATAGATAGCTAGTGGGAAGCAGCTGCATGGCACAGGGAGATCAGGTTGGTGCTTTGTGTCCACCTAGAGGGGTGGGACAGGGAAAGTGGGAGGGAGATGCAAGAGGGAGAAGATATGGGGATGCATGTATATGTATAGCTGTTTCACTTTGTTATACAGCAGAAACTAACACGCCATTGTAAAGCAATTATACTCCAATAAAGATGTTAAAAATAAATAAATAAAATGGGTAACCAACAAGGACCTACTGTACAGCACAGGGAACTCTGCTAATATTACATACAACCTAAATGGGAGAAGAATTTGAGAAAGAAGAGATACATGTATACATATATAAAACTGAATCACTTTGCTGTACACCTGAAACTAACACAACGTGGTTAATCAACTGTTCTCCAATATAAAATAAAAAGTTAAAAAATAAAAAGACGGGAGGGTAAAGAAATGTAGATAATTATTGACAGATTTGGTGAAGACAAAATACAAATAGAGAGGGAGCTGGAGGGGGGTTAAGTAGAAGAGGAATTTTTGTTCCTCTTTTAAAATATGGTAGAAACTTGAGTCGAGGTCGGGGGAGGGGGAAGGATAACAGAGAAAGGGGAAGACCTTGAAGACGCAGGGAAGAGACGGGAGGGACAGTGGAGCAAGGAGCAGGCCCCAGAACAGGGTCACCTTCAACACATCAAGTCTAAACGGATGACTCAGTAAATCCAGGGATGGGTCAGCCACAGACTGACGGCAGCCACCGAACAAGTCAGAACAGACACATCGTTGGAGGAGAAAAGGCTGAGCCAAGGAACCACCAAAGACAAGAGAAAACATAACCAACAAGCCTCTGGAAGAGGCTGAGACTTAAAAGGGCTGAGTCAGAGATCATCTGCTGGGCAGTTGATGGGGCACTTTCTGCAGCTTCTCATCTGAAGCTCTGACTACTGCTGGCGGGGAGGCAGAATTATGATGCCCCTTGCGTGGAAGAAGAAACTGAGACCCAGAAAGGCCTTAGGGTTACTGAATGACACACAGGTGACTGAGGTTACCAAAGGACGCAAAGAGCCCCCCGGTGAGGAGGCCGGGAGCCCAGGGAGGGCCTGGGGCATCCTCTATCTGGACACATGAAGAGACACCCTTGAGGCCCCGCCCAGAAGTGGGCACTCTTTTATACAGTCGCCCTTTTTCCATTCTCCTCCCTGGGCTTCTGAGATAGTCTTCCTGGTTTTCTACCTCTTGGATCTTTCTCAAGAGACTTTCCAGAGTACTGCTTCTCCCTCCAACCACTTACAGATCCAAAACTGGATTCACCTTACTCCGCCCCAGACTCCTCCTTCCCTGTTCCCTACTTGGTGATTGGCACCACCAGCCACAAATCTCCCTCTGCCTCTCCCCGACATCCTGCCAATCACCAATCGCTGTGTCTTCTGCGTCCTAAGTACCTTGTGAGCCTGCCCGCTCTCTCCATCCCCAGGCCTTGCCGCCCTGTCTTGCCTGAGCCCTGACTGTTGGCCTCCCCAGTCCATCCTCCAGACTGCTACAGCCTGAGTCTCCTAAATCACAATGATGATGTCCTTGCTCAGGCGTTTAAAGATGGCTGGCTTCCTACCTCTGTTGGGTAGAGCACAAACTAGCACTCAAAGCCCTTTATGATCTGGCCCCTGCCAGATTCTCCAGCCTCAACAACCCTGAACACATCCCACCCTCCAGCCACACCTACAACTTGCCATTTTTCAAATGTTCCGCACCGTTGTCTAAGGTTATTTCTACTGCCTGGAAGATCCTCCTTCCCACCACCATCTGCCTTAAGCCAGCTCAGGTATCTACTCCCGTAAGAAGCCCTCCTGACCCTCCATCCCATGGGGTTAAGCCCTCAATGTGCACTTTTCCCCACTCCTCTTGTCACACTCTCACACTCTACAGTGATTGCTTCCCTGCCTGTCTACCCATCAGATGTGACAGAGATTCCCAGGTGGCCAGGGGAGAGTTCAGGACCTGAAGCATGCTTGTGCTCAGTTACTATTGGCCGGACTGTGTTGATTGTCACAGTGTATACCAATCTACCATACTTTGTCATTTACTTACACATTGCTCTGTTATTGCCACTTTTCCCCACGACGCATAGTCAGCTCAAAACATCCTTAGACAAATACGGGTTTTTCTCCTTTCCATTATTTACTTGGAATGTATTCCCCAAACTGCTTTTACTTGGCCAAAGGTTATACTTAAGTGTGTGGCTTTTAATAGGCATTGCCAGATAGTTCTCTAGAAAGATTGTGTTGATACATATCACTACTAAGTGTGTGCATGGATCCCTGCAACACTGTCAGCACTGGGTTTTACTATTTTCATTCATATTTACTACTTTAACAGGTATGATTGGTGATGGTCTCTTCCTTCAAGGAGCCTTCTCTAGTCCTAGAGAGGCAGCTATAATGCCATGACAGAAGGCAGCCGAGGAGAATGTGGGAGCCTAGACGGAGTGGAGGTGAGGTCTAATCCAGGTGGTGAGGTTCAAAGAAAACTTTCTAAAGGAGATGACACCCAACTTGGACCCAACCAGTTGACGTTTCCTCTCACCTTGCCTTCCACAACATCCTGACCTGCTTTGGCTTTCCCAATCTTATCTCCACCAGTCTTCATTCATCTCCTGCCATGAGGCTCCCATGTCCAGAGATAGCAAAGTACAACAGCTCAATGGGAATAGATATTTTTCCCACCTCACAAATGAGGAAACAGGTTCACAGGGACCATGCAGCTAGTGAGGGATGGGACTAGAATTTGAACCAAGCCCTATATGATTGTCCCTGGGCCCATGCTCACCCAGCTACCTTCACTGAGAAGGGAGAAAGAGGACACTTCCTGGAAAGACTATGTGCCAGGCCCCATGGAAGCCACTTCTCACCTATCACTCCATTCACAGCAGCCCTGCAAGGTAAGAAATACCAGGCAGAATCTACAAAAGAGGAAACTAAAACCCAACAACGACCTTTCCAAGGTCACACAGTGGGGCAGGTCCAGTGGGACCCAGAATGTCCAGGAACATAGACTCTCCCTCCTAGGGAGGGCTCCCCACCCCCACTTCCCTACCACACTCATCTCAGAGGGAGCAACACCAGCTGAACAGTGTGATAGGTTGAATTGTGTTCCCACCAAATTCATATGTTCAAGTCCTAACCCCTCGTCCCTTAGAATGTGACCTTATTTGGAGGTAGGTTCTTTAAAGAGGTAATCAACTTTAATGAGGTCATTAGGGTGGGTCCTAATCCAATATGACTGGTGTCCTTATAAAAAGGAGAAACTTGGACACAGAGACAGATATTCCAAGAGAGAAGGTGAAGTCACACAAGGAGAATACTAGACAAGGAACACCAGAGGCTACCAGCAGCTAAGAGGCCTGGAACAGATCCTGCTCCCACAACCCTGAGAAGGAGTCAACCCTGCCAATACCTTGATTTCAGACTTCTAACTTCCAGACTGTGAAACAACAGATTTGGGGTTTGTTTTGCTTGTCTGTTTTTTTAAGCCACTGTTTGTGGTACTTCGTTACAGCAGCCCCGGGAAATGAACACTAAGAGAAAACTGCTACCCACCCCAAAAAGAAGAGATCCTGAAGATATTTTTGAACACATGATTGTTGTGATTTTTAAATTGCTAATGTTTTTATTATTATTCTATATTTCTACTGAAGAAAATTTAGAAAGGATCAGACAGTATAAATAAGAAAATTAAAACCACATGCCCTCTTTGGAAGTGAATTCTTGGAGGGGGTGGGTACACACATGCCCTCTTATTTTACTGTTTACATGTTAGTGAATTTCCTTTTAGTCTCTTTTTCCCCCCTTGCAGTTACTAGAATCTCCCTTGCAAGGCTGCTGTGATGCTTGACTGAGAGCCTGGGTGAAGTTCTTAGCACAGGGTAGAGCACCCAGTCCAGCACTATCTACGGTACATAGAGTGCATATTTATATAGACATTGGATAAAATTGGATTCATGCTGCTTTATAACTTCCCCTTTTCACTTACCAGCACATCTTGAGTGTTTCCTCGTCTCTTTAATGTCCTTCAAGAGCATGATATTTAATTTCTGCACAGCCTCCCACCTGTGAATGTGGCATCATCTATTTACCCAATTCCCTCTCATTGAACATTTCAGGAATTTCCAATTTTCCCCAGTTATAAATAAGACTGGGATGAAAAAGATCTTTGATTTTAGGGTACATCCTGGAAGTAGAATTGCTAAATCAAAGCATAACTCTTTTAAAAAGCTTTTGTATATAAAATAATGTGCAAAAGTTCCCGCAGAAATGCTGTATAATTTATCTCCTCAGCAGAGAAAAGGGCACTGACTTCCCCACGCTTTACCAACATCTGGTGTTTTCATTATTTTTTTGTCTTGACCAATTCTATAGGTAAGAAAAGCCGGAATCTCCTTTTCATTTGTACTTCGGGATTTCTAACATTTTCATGAGGTTTTTGTATTTCCTCGGTGAATTACGTTAATCATCCTTTGCTTGTGGTGTCCCAGGTCAGTTCCTTTCATTGTTACGGGTTTAGCAGGACTTGAAAGGGCTGCTGCAGATGGGGCCCCGCGAGCAGCTTCCTCCCCGCCCTTCTCACCCTCCTCTTCCCACATTCCCATCCTCAGAGCTTTCCTCTGCTCCCCAGGGAACCTCTGTCATTCAGACTAGCCCTTGCTCTCCCTGGGAAAGCATCTCTACCACCTTTTGCTGCCTTCCCCCACCCCCACGTCCCACAGCCCAGCACGTTCACCCCTGAAATTCCCCAAGGAGGCCCAAAACCACAGGGGACCCAGACTGAGCCCTAGAGCAAGCATCCCAGCCCTGCTCTGCTCTGGCCTGAACACAAGGAGATGGTGAGCAGTTCAGAGGAACAGTTGTCCCCAGGGGAAGGCCTGGGAGAGCAAGGCAACAGTGTGAGGTGGGAGAAAGCATGCTTTGGATGTCTTTTGGTGTTCCATGTCTTTGTAGCCCAGAGCTCAAACCCCAGGTCAGCCACTTGAAGTCTGTCAACTCACTATCTTGCAGGGTCACCACGAGGGGAAAATGCAACGTGATGTGTACGGCACCAGGCACAAAAGCCGGTTGCGCGGATGACAAACCCCAAGGATCAGGTACTGCTTCTCCGGGAGAGACGGGACTTGGAAGGGTCCAGTTTGCACTTGCGGCTGGAGAGGCAGCGTATCAGGCAGAAGGCACAGCTTGAACAAAGGCTGGAAGGCCAGGTGTGGGGCTGAGTAGGTCATGTAAATGGAGGGTCTCAGGGCACGGAGGAGGCCCCAGGGTCAGTAGTCGGGGCTGACAGGGAAGCTCAGACCTCAGCTCAGGCCGTGGAGAGGGCCACGCCTGGCTCGGGAAATCTCGGTTTTCCTTCCCACCCGTCTCCAACTTCACTCCTTCACTCCCCCCGGGAAGACACTTGTATGTACGGCGGTCGGGCCCCACCCTGGATCTTGAGGGCAGACGAGCCTCGACCGGAGTGATCAGTGCCCGGGGGGCACCCCGAGGAGAGTGGCTAAAACTGAGAGAGCTTCCCAGAAGCAGCCTTTGAGCCAGGTCTGGGGGTGCGAGTTGGTCAGGCGCTGGGAGGGCGAGGCAAAGCGGGCACTGCGTGCATAAGGGTCGCCTGGACCCCGACTGGCCGGCCAAGCCTGGCTCCGGGGATGGTCTGCGAGCACCACGAGGGTGGTGCGCGGGGGAGGGGCGGGATGCAGCAGGTGCCCAGAGACGCCCGGGAGGCCCCGGGCCGGCGGGGTGGAGGGAGCGGCAGGGGAAGGGAGATGGGGGGAGGGGAGATGGAGGGAGGCCGACGTCTCCCGCCCCGCCCCCGAGGGCTGCCGCACGTAGCTCTCGTCGCTGGTCTGCTGCGTGTCCCGGCAGGTACAAAGGAGGAGTTGCGGCGGAGCGGGGCCTGCCCGCTACCTACCGCGCTGCCCCCCCCACCAGCCCCGCCAGGGTTGGGGGGTGCCCCACGGAACGAAGCGGGGGGCGGGGTGGGCAGGAGCCCAAGAGCACACCGTCCGGGCCAGGTTGGTCTCCTCCACCCGCAGCTTTCCCTCCCGCGGCCTCCCCAGGGCCCCTACGGCCCGGGAAGGAGGCGGGGTCCTTGTGTGGCCGACTGGATGTCTGAGGCCCAGACAAAGGGACCGCCCCGGTCCCACAGGGGTGGGGGCGAGGCGACTAGTGAAAGGCACGATCCTGTCTTTTGCAGGAGAGAAGCGAGGCCAGGGCCCCCTTTGTACTTGCCCCGACCTCACCCCCACCCCCAGTGTGAGGATGGGGACTATGCCCCAGGCCCTCTAAGCGGAATTTGATGTACAAGAGCACTCAAGTACACAAGTCTGCGCTCCGGAATGTCTTATCTAGGAGTCAACCCAGATGGAACTGTCTCCAAGCAGCTCTTTACGCAAGATCGTCCAGTCCACATCAAAGGAAGGGAGAGGCGGCGATAGAGGTTAGAGGGAGACCAAAGCCTTCTCAAGCCATCCGTGGCTCCGCCTCTGCACGTACCATGCCCAGAGGATGCCCTCGTGGGCGCTCACAGTCCCGCAAACACACAGGTAGCCCCGCCCGCGCATGCGCCTGGGTGTTGTCCCCACAGACCCATGTTCCCATCTGATTTCACACATGCACGTGTACGTTCGGGCTCCCCAGGAGCCACCCAGATTCTGAAAGTCAAGGAGGGCTACAGAATGAACCCTAGAATGATCCTTTGGGATTATCGCTCCTGTTCACTCCCCAGACCCTCACTTTGTCCTCCATGCAAGGCAATCCTGGGGCAGGTGGGAGAGGAGAATTGGGCCAGGCTAGTTGGAGATCAAAAGCACTTTGGGAGGGAATGTCCTCTGGATGGGAGCGGCTGCCCTCTTCCACCACACCAGCCCAGTGCAGAGGGACCTCCCATCCCCCATCAAAGCAGGCCAGAGGACCACCCAGGATAGGTGTGAAAGCCACAAAAGAACAGGAAGCTAAGAGACTAGGTCCCCTTGCAGTTGTAGGGGAGGGGAGGGAGTGGCTGCCTCACTTCTCTAATCATTACAGTGGGGAAGAGGGCTGTTCCCTGTGATTGGGGCCCCTCCAGTTCTGCCCTTCTGCTTTGGAGCTGATCAGCAGACCGAGGGAGTGGGGCCCTTGTGCTCACATACACACACACACACACTCCCCCCACCCTTGCAACCTGGCCTAGAGCCCCCATTCCTGGAGGAGGAACCCTGGGAGCAGCAGACAGAAGCTCTGAGGCAAGGCGCCACATAGCCTGGTATAGTCTCCCCTTTGTCAGCTAGAGAGGAGTGAGACCAGGCCCCTGCCCTGCGGGTGTCTAGACCATGAGTAATAGGCACGTATACACATGCAGGCGCCGGGCTGCAGCCCAGGTGCTGAGGACTCAGGACCAGTGTTCAGAGAGGGAGGGAAGACCGCCCCCCCATCCAAACAGGCACAGGGCTGAGTACACAGGTACCCTCAATACTATCTGGTGACTGAATGAAAGAACAAATGAGTGGGTGAATTCAGTGGATACATGAATGAATGTCCGAGGCCATTAATTTATTTGGGTGGAAAAACCTTGGCATGCCCAGGCTGGGACTTTTTGTGGATCGTCACTGGTCTTGCCCTAGTATGTGTCATCACGCCAGCAGGCTACAGCTCCCCCAGGGGCCAGAAAACCCTTTGCTTGAGCCCCAGCCTAAGGCCGGACATTCACAAGGTGGCCAAGCGGTGCTCGCCGCCAGTCAAGAATGGGTGTTGGTGTGTCCACCTCCCCACCAGACTGAGAGCTCTTCACAGGAGTCTTCAGTATCCGGCTCAAATTCCTTCCCATCCTCCACCCCAGTGTCCCCTCCAGTGAAGGGCCAACTGTGCCAAAGGAGAAGGACCTGGAATGAAGGTGGGCCTGGCCACTTCCTGGCTGGGTGGCCTTAGGTAGTCATTTCTCTCTGCGAGCCTTAATTTCCCTGTCTGAAGAATGGAGACAAGATGCCTTCTTTGGAAAATAAAAAAGGCCTTCTTTGCTTTGCTTTACAGGATGTGGGGTCACCTGCAGCACCACCCCTCCCTGAGCACCCTCACTCAGCACCCAGCGTTCTTTGTTCACCTACACACCTCTTACCCCCCACTCCCTTTATATCTGCCTTTGTACCTGCACTTAGCAGTTCCCCAAAGACAGGAATTGGGGCTCCCTCTGTCTCTCTGGGCCCTCTATTGCCCAGCAATGCCCAACACATGGTGAAGCACGTGACAGTGAGTGGAAGAAAAGGGTCCTTGAATGGTAAGTGATGAGTGAAAGCATTTTGTTAACCAGACAGTGCTGTGCGAATATGAGGGCTTTGGTCATTATGACAGTAATTTAAATCATAGAGGTTCAGGACACGAACATATCTTACAGGTTAACTGAATCCTCCCGTTAGACAGATGAGGAAACTGAGGTCCAGAAAAGACTGCCAGAGATCACTCATGGAGGATGTCCCGCTTGAACCTCAACTAAAATCTCCTAACTCCCAGGGGAGAAGGGATTCCTCCATGGCCCCTCCCCCAGGCCATTCTCCTCAGACCACGCCCCCTCCCCTGCTGGGCTCAAGCCAGCACAGACACAGGGAAGCCCAGAAGGACGGGCCTAGTCTTCCTTCCTCCCGTGACTGCCTTCTTCCAGACACCCGAGAGTCATGAGTGTATCTGGGGTTCTTGAGGGCTGAAGATGACGAGGTGCTGCTGCAAAGAAGCTGTGAAGTCTGAGTTTGCACTTCAGTGGAAGGCAGCGGCAGTGACAGCAGCGTGTGGAGGGGAAAACTGGAGGCTTAGCTCGGAAGCTCCCAGTGGAGCCGGGGGCAGTGGAATCAGCATGGACTCCAGAGCCAGGCCACCCTGGTTTTGACTCCTGACTCTGACGCTCAGCTGGGGGGGGTCACTTGGCAAGTTACTTCATCCACAAGCCTCAGTTCCCCTCACCTGTCATATAGGAATACTAATCTCTACCTGACAATATAGTTGAGATGATTCAATAAGAACATAAGCAGAAGTGTCTGTTATGGACTGAATGTGTCTCCCTAAAATTCCTATGTTGAAACCCTAACCCCTAGTAGGGCTGTATTTGGAGATGGGACTCTAAGGAAGTATAATAATTAAGGTTAAATGAGATCATAAGGTGGCCCTGATCTGATAAGGATTAGTGTCCTTAAAAGAAAAGACATTAGGGAATTCCCTGGCAGTTTTTACTGTGGTTAGGACTCCGTGCTTTCACTGCCGAGGGCCCGGGTTCAATCCCTGGTCAGGGAACTAAGATCCCACAAGCCGTGCCCGTGCGGCCAAAATAAAAGACACTAGAGAGCCTCCCCTCCACCCCCCGCCCCAAGTGCAAACAGAAGAAAGGCTATGTGGCGGGTGACATGGCAACAAGGCCGCCGTCTACAACCCAGGCAGAGAGCTCTCACCAGAAACCAACTACACTGGCACCCTGACCTCAGAGTTGCAGCCTTCAGGACAGTGAGAAAATTAATTTCTGTGGTTTAAGCCCAAGAGTCTGCAGTCTTTTGTTATGGCGCCCAATGCAATACAATGACTAAATAAGTAGGGGCCATAATTGTTCTCCCTCTTGACATCTCCAGTTTCCCCTCTGCTCTCAGGATGGAATAAGGAAAGAGCCTGCTGCTCCTTCCCCCACAGTTCAGAGGCCACTGGAAGGAAGGTAGTGGTGTCGGGTGGTGAAATTGGTACCCCAAATATATCCACATCAAATCCCTGGAACCTGTGAGTGTTCGCATATCGGGCAAAAGATGTGATTACGGTAAGGATCTTGGGAAGAGGAGCTTATCCTGAATTGTCCAGGTGGGTCCTCAGTGTCATCCCAACTGTTCTTATAATGGAGAGGCAGAGGGCCGGAGAGAGGAGAAGACATACATACACAGAGAAGGAAGCACTAGGACAGTGGGAGATTGGAGCCATGTGGCCACAAGTCAAGGAACGCCTGCAACCACCAGAGGCTGGAAGAGGCCAGAAGCAGATTCTTCCCCAGCGTCTCGGGAGGTAGTGGGGCCCTGCCAACACCTTGCTTTCAGACTTCTGGTCTCCAAAACCGTGAGAATACATGTCTATTTTTGTAAGCTAACCAGCTTATGGTACAGCAGCCACAGGTAACTAAGATAGGGTTATGGGTCCTGCCTCCAACTCAGCCAGCCCCCTGCCTCTGTACCTTTCATTTCCTAGCCACACCTGGACCTGGACCCCCCAAGCACTCGCCCACTAAGCCCTAAAGCCCAATCCTAAGTGGGATGGGACACCTGCCACCCACAGCGTAGGCTGAGTCACAGCTGCCACCTGAATCCACTGGACTCGGCACCAGTTCTCTGCACCATCAGACCCCAGTAGGACTGGGAGGTGGTGTGCCTCCTGGGGCCAAGTAGGGGTTAGTGGGGGAAAAACGCTAACTTGGGAAAGTCAGGGGGTCCGTATTTAAATTTTGCCTCTCTATGAACTTGAGCAAGTCACTCGAGCTCTCCAGGCCACAGTTTTCTCATCTGCCGGGGCCTGGATTGAAGTGCGTGATTTTCCTGTGCACGTGCAGTTCTGACTGTGAATAAGCAGAGAAAGGGGCGGGAGGGCTGGGGAGGGAGGAGGAAGGTAATCAGTGCCGAGCGTAAACGTGTTCAATTCTATAAGTGGGGTTTGGGTTTCTCGTGGATTGGATGACAAGCGGTGTCACACAGGGATTCAAGGCTTGGAAGGAAGGAGCGCTTGGGGTTAGAGGTCTGCATGAGAGGTGTCCATCAAAGGCCCACCCTGTCACACCCCTTTCCAGGGAGGTTGCTCGGTCTCCAACCCCCGCAGCCCAAGTGGGTACATTCGGACCATGGAACTTTGTCTCCTGTGGACAGAACCAACTGGAAGAAGGGGGGACCTGAGGAGAGGGCTGCCCGGCAACCAATGACATGGAGGGAAAAGATGAGATGGGCCACCACATTGTCGTACTTGGGAACTTGAACTGGGAAACATGGGAAAACGTGATAGGAAAATGGAGACAAAGAAGTCACACTATAGAGAAGTGCAGAGATCCAAGCCTGGTCAAGCCAGTGACTGAAAAGAGAAATTAAAAGAAGTGAGTTAGTAGCCAGCAGAATGAGGTGAAGCAAACTGGGATGGTAGTCAAGCCAAGTTAATGTTAAGTCCCATTAACACACTGCGATGTGTTAATGTTGAGCTGTGAAAGTAAAAGTCCATGCACTCCTGCAGCTGGCTGTCCTAAAGGGTTCTAGCACTGGAGGGGAAAGGCCTCAGACTTAGAATTAGTAAGAACTCTATTTATTCAAAGTGCGCTGCAGGGAAGAAGGAAGAAATGCTCACCAGCCAGAACTGAGGACTACCACGCTAGTTTCTTTTCTTTTCTTTTCTTTTTTTCTTTTGTGGGATCTTAGTTCCATGACTAGGGATTGAACCGGGCGAAAGCTCAGAGTTCTAACCATTGGACCACCAGGGAATTCCTAACCATGCTAGTTTCTTAACATATCAAATCTACTGACTTCTAAGCTACTGGGACTGAGTTCAGCAAGGTCACAGGATATAACGTCAATATTCTAAATTCAGTTATATTTCTATCTACTGCCAATAAGCAATTGGAAACTGAAAATTTTAAAACATCTTTTTAAATAGTATCAAGAAACCATCACAGACTAGGTGATACATTTATCAAGATAGATGCAAGATATGTATATTAGTTATCTATTGCTACATAACAAATTATCCCAAACTGAGTGGTTTAAAACAACATACATTTCCTATCTCAGTTTCCAGGGATCAGAAATTTAGGAGCAGCTTAGCTGCCAGATGGTCTGGCTCAGGGTCTCTCATGAGGTTGCAACCCAGATGTTGGCCAGAGCTGCAGTCATCTGAAGGCTTGATGTGGCTTTTAGCAGGAGGCCTCAGTTTTGCATCACATGAAATGCTCCATAGGACTGTTCACAACATGACAGCCGGCTTCTCCCAGAATGAATGATCCAGGAGAGAAAGGGCAGCCCAATTAGAAAGCCACAGTGCTTTTCATGACCTAGTCACTGAAGTCCCACACTGTCCCTTCTGCTTTATTCTGTTAGAGCAAGTCAAATCACTAAGTCCAGCCCATATTCCAAGAGAGGGAAATTCATCTCCACCTCTGGTAGGGAGGTGTATCAAATAATCTGTGAACTTATTTTTAAAATCACCATAACCAGTGCACTGGAAACAATAAAACATTGCTGAGAGAAAATTTTAAATGGAAAGATAAGGCATGTTGGGCTTCCCTGGTGGCACAGTGGTTAAGAGTCTGTCTGCCAATGCAGGGGACACGGGTTCGAGCCCTGGCCCGGGAAGATCCCACATGCCGCAGAGCAACTAAGCCCATGCGCCACAACTACTGAGCCTGCGCTCTAGAGCCCGTGAGCCACAACTACTGAGCCCACATGCTGCAACTACTGAAGCCTGCGTGCCTAGAGCCCATGCTCCACAACAAGAGAAGCCACCGCAGTGAGAAGTCCGCACACCGCAACGAAGAGTAGCCCCCACTCGCTGCAACTAGATAAAGCCTGCGCACAGCAACGAAGACCCAACACAGCCAAAAATAAAATAAATAAAAAATAAATAAATGAAAAAACAAAAACTGCTGACAAATAAAAAAGAAAGATAAGGCATGTTCATGGATGGGATGACTCAATATCGTTGAGAAATCACTTCTCAGATTGATCTATAGATTCACTACAATCTCAATAAAACACCAGCAGAATACTTTTACAGAGATTAACAAGCTAATTGCCAAACTTATACGAAAATGGTCCTAACATAACCAAAACAATTTTGGTCCTAACATAACCAAAACAATTTTGTAAAGAAAGAACAAAGTTTGGTCCTAACATAACCAAAACAATTTGGTCCTAACATAACCAAAACAATTTTGTAAAGGAAGAACGAAGTTTGAGGATTATGCTACCTCATTTCAAGACAATATAAAGCCACAGTAATCACTTTGATGTAGGCATGGATATTGATGTGATATACGGATAGATATGTAAATCAATGGACTAGAACAGAGTCCAGAAACAAACCCACACATATGTAGTCAATTCATTTTTTATAAAGGGACCAAGAGAATTCAATGGGGAAAGGATAGTCTTTTCAACAAACGGGGCTGAAACAATTAGGTATCCATATTAAACAAAACAAATCTCAACCGTCATGTCAAATACAAAAATTAACTCAAAATATGTCAAAACAATCATAGGAGCTAACACTATAAAGTTTCTAGAAGAAATGTAGGAGCAAATTAGTTTTATCTAAGTTTAGGCCACTGTTTCTTAACTTGGGGCAATTTTCCCCAGGGAACATTTGGCAATGTCTGGAGACATTTTTAATTGTCACAACTGGAGGGGTGATGCCACTGAGTTAGTGGGTAAAGGCCAGGAATGCTGCTAAACATTCTACAATACACAGGACAGCCTCCTACAACAAAACACTTTCTAGTGTAAAAT